CCCTCCACCACCCAGGGCCCGCATGCCCTGCCCCCTCCTAGGAGCTGATAATAAGAGGGACCGTTTAATAATAATAAACTCACAGCAGAGAAGGCTTCTTGTGCCACCGCCCCTCCAGCCCTGTCTTCCCGCTGCCTGGCACACAGAGAGCCTCTATCTCATATTATGTATTTATTTGTTCTTTGCAGACCTGTCTGAAAGAAGTAATTACTTTTATTTTATTCACAGACATAGTCGGTCCTGGGAGGCCAGTCTGGGTGGGAACTCCAGACCCTTCTCTCCAGCTGAGAACCTCCTGCCTGGACCAAGGATGTCCTTGCTGAAATCGCAACTTCTGCCTCTGTAAGGGAACAGCCGCGATAGTGACAGATGGGGCAGCTTCCCAGGGCGGGGGTGAGGGTGCTGCCTGATCCGCTCAGCGCTGCACACCCGGGTCCTGGAGTGCACTCAGCTCGGGGGAAGTCCTCGGTGAGGAGGGGTGAAAGGAGGGGATCGACTGGGACTACACCTGTCATTTCCTAGGTCCCTGGGCTGCCCAGGATACGCAGGAGATCACTGATTGGGGCCCCATAATTCCAGCAGGGAGGAACATGAGTCGCTCCCATTGTACAGAGAAGGCTGAGGCTGGGATGGGAAGGGATTTGCCCAAGGCACCAGCGGTACAGGACACTCTGCCCTGACCTCTGGCTCTCCCGACCTCTGGGTGCTCCTCTCCTGTGGGCTCTGTCTCTGGGGCTGGCTGCCTCGCTCTGTCCATGTCTTTCTCTACCGTGTATTCCTGTCCCACTTTTCTCTTTCAAGTCTGTCTTGTTCCTCTTTCCAGGACTGCTACCATCATGCCACCAAGTTTGCAGGTCAGGATGAGCTGCTGGACCACCCACGACCCCATCACCACCTAGATCAAAAGCAGAGCAAGATAAAGACCATTGGCCGGGCGCGGTGGCTCACGCCTGTAATCCCAGCACTTTGGGAGGCCGAGGCGGGTGGATCACGAGGTCAAGAGATCGAGACCATCCTGGTCAACATGGTGAAACCCCGTCTCTACTAAAACTACAAAAAATTAGCTGGGCATGGTGGCACGTGCCTGTAATCCCAGCTACTCAGGAGGCTGAGGCAGGAGAATTGCCTGAACCCAGGAGGCGGAGGTTGCGGTGAGCCGAGATCGCGCCATTGCACTCCAGCCTGGGTAACAAGAGCGAAACTCCGTCTCAAAAAAAAAAAGAAAAAAAGATAAAGACCATCCTGCCAGTACCGAAACAGCCCCGTTGGGCCCAAGACTCTGGAAGAGAATTCAAGGTTGGGGAACTGGCTTGGGGGAGGGGTGGGGAGGGCCAAAATATGTTTCTGGAAGGCAGGGATGGTGTGGGAGCTGAGCAGAATCTGCTCTTAGCAGCCCAGCAGCCCTCCTGGACTTTTTCCACTCTTCACTCTGGCTCCTGCCCCACCCAGCAGGCTGCAGAGCGGCCTGGGCAGAGGCAGGCTGGCAGTGGAAAGTTTGGGTGGAGATGTCAGAGTCGGAACCATCCCCCACCCTCTGCCTCCCAGGGCCCCGGCCTCTCTCCTCCTCCCCACACGCTCCAAGGTACCAAGCTCGGGAGCTCGGGAACATGAGCTCAGAGGGGGAGGCTGGCAGCTGCATTTTGGTGGGGAGCTGCAAGTACCCCCATTCTGCAGAGGACAAAATTGAGGCTTAGACAGGGGCTACCTCTCAGCCAAGGAAGCAGCCAGGCCCTGGGCTCCAGAGGGGTCTCTGTGCCAAGAACACGTCATGGGCACGGACAGAGAGGACAGCAGGGTGTCAGGTGATCACACCACCAGCCCAGCTCAGTTAGTTCCTGAGAATGTTCCCTTGAATGGCGGACTCCATCATTCTAACGTTATTCACCATTATAAAGAACACACTCTTGGGCTGGGCGTGGTGGTGGTGGCTCACACCTGTAATCCTAGCAGTTTGGGAGACAGAGGTGTGCAGATCATGAGGTCAGGAGATCGAGACCATCCTGGCTAACATGGTGAAACCCTGTCTCTTCTGAAAATATAAACAATTAGCTGGGTGTGGTGGCACACGCCTGTAATCCCAGCCACTCAGGAGGCTGAGGCAGGAGAATTGCTTAAACCTGGGAAGTGGAGGTTGCAGTGAGCAGAGATTGCACCGCTGCACTCCAGCCTGGGTGACAAAGAGAGACTCCATCTAAAAATAAATAATCAGCATCATCATAATAAAAATAATAAAGAAGATACTCTTGCCTGGGCAACATAGCAAGACCTCGTCACTACTAAAAATAACATAGCTCAATGTGGGAAAACACAACTGCCTGTAATCACAGCTACTTGGGAGGCTGAGGCAGGAGAATCACTTGAGCCCAGGAGGTCAGAGGCTACAGTGAGCTATGATCACACCAGGGCTCTCCCGCCTGGGCAACAGAGTGAGACTTTGTCCACGAAATGAAAAGAAAAGACACTCCTTACATTACTTGGCGCATCATTCAGTACCTTGCTATTGTTTCCCATGAATATCTTTCTATTTGTTTCTTCACTGCAGCTGGATATGACTTCGCACCCAGCCAGCCTGCAAGTCCCAGCTTGCCTTAAGTGATTGGCCAAACTATTACAGTCAATCTGTTATCAGTCTAAAAGGCTTTCCCATCACTGAGATATGCATCCTTGATGGGTTCTTATTCATTAGTTAGTGTTGCTTATCTTTCTCATCAGTTATAATATTTTTTTCTTCTTCTTTTTTTGTTTTTGACAGGGTCTCTGTTCTGCAGGTTGGAGTGCAGTGGCGCGGTCTGCAACCTCCACCTCCCGGGTTCAATGGATTCCCCTGCCTCAGCCTCCTGAGTAGCTGGGATTACAGGTACACGCTACCACACTCAGCTAATTTGTGTATTTTTAGTATGGACGGGGTTTCACCATATTGGTCAGGCTGGTCCTGAACTCCTGACCTCGTGATCCTCCCACCTCAGTCTCCCAAAGTGCTGCGATTACAAGCATGAGCCGCCGTGCCAGCCTGAAATAATATTTTCGTGAGCCTTTTTTCTTTTTTTTTTTTTTTTTTTGAGGTGGAATCCTGCTTTGTTACCCAGGCTGGAGTGCAGTGGTGCCATCTCAGCTCCCTGAAACCTTTGCCTTCCAGGTTCAAGTCATTCTCCTGCTTCAGCCTCCTGAGTAGCTGGGATTACAGGTGCCTGCCACCATGCCCGGCTAATATTTATATTTTTAGTAGAGACGTGGTTTCACCATGTTGGCCAGGCTGGCCTTGAACTCCTGACTTCAGGTGATCCAGCTGCCTCAGCCTCCCAAAGTGCTGGGATTACAGGTGTGAGCCACTGTGCTCGGCTGCTTTTTTTCAATTTTAAATAGTTAATATAGACTGGACGTGATGGTGCACACCTGTAGTCTCAGCTACTTGAGAGGTTGAGGCAGGAGAATCACTTGAACCTGGGAAGCGGAGATTGCAGTGAACTGAGTTCGTGCCATTGCACTCCAGGCTGGGCAACAAGAACAAGACTTAGTCTCAAAAAATATGTAATAATAATAGTAGTAATAATAATAACAAATATATGTATTTCTCAATAGTTTTTCTATCAAGGTATCCTTCCCATAAAATAAAAGATGCAGATATTAAAGGTGTAGTTCACTGATTTTGAGAAATGTGGAGACCTATCTAACCACCTCCTCAATTAAGTTTCCCGGAGTCCAGGAAATAGTGGCCTCTCCTCTTGTTCCAGGAAGCCACTGGCCATTGTCACTCCTGACCTTTTTTGAGATGGGGACTCACTTGGTCACCCAGGGTGGAGTGTAATGGTATAATCTCTGCCCACTGCAGCCTCAGCCTTCCAAGCTAAAACCTCCTGGGCTCAAGCAATCCTCCCATTTCAGCCTCCCAAGTAGCTGGGGCTACAGACACATGCCACCACGCCTGACTAATTGTTTGTGTGGTTTTTGTAGACATAGGGTTTTACCATGTTGCCCAGGCTGGTCTTGAATTCCTGGAGTCAAGTGATCTGTCTGCCTCAGCCTCCCAAAGTGCTGGGATTACAGGTGTGAGCCACTGTCCCTGGCCACTCCTGAGCATTGAATAGCCACCAAAGTTCATTTGTCTCAAAATAAAGAAGGGGGAGTAGACTGATTTTTCTGACTTTATGCCTCTTTTAGGAAATAATTTAGATGAAAAGTAGATAATTGCACACCAGGTGGCTGTAGAGATTTGAAATTCAGGCTCCGTGAATATCATTGTGTTGGTGACATTTGGTTATTTTTTGTACACAGTGAAGGTAATTCAGGGGCTGCTTTTTGTAAATCAACATTGTGATGATGAAAATGACACTTAGAAATCTCATTTTGTTCTTGGCCAGGTGCGGTGGCTCACACCTGTAATCTCAACACTTTGGGAGGCCAAGGTGAGTGGATCACCTGAGGTCAGGAGTTCGAGACCAGCCTGGCCAACATGGTGAAACCCTGTCTCTACTAAAAATACAAAAAAAAAGAAAAGAAAAGAAAAGAAAAATTAGCTGGGCATGGTGGTGCATGCCTGTGATCTCAGCTACTCGGGAGGCTGAGGAGGGAGGATCACTGGAACCCAGGAGACGGAGGTTGTTGTGAGCCGAGATCGCACAACTATACTCTAACCTGGGTGACAGAGCAAGACTCCATCCCAAAAACAAACCAACAAACAATCCAGAAATCTCACTTTCACTTTGTTCTTAAGCTTTTATGCCCATTGGAAATCTTACAACTCTATTTTTATAAACATAATAAATATTAATAGAACAATCCAATGGTTGCTAAGAAAAAGCCTATTCTCTAGTGTTCAGTTCCATTTATAAATCTAGTTAATTAAACTCTCTCTTAAATATTTAAAACTGAATGCATAATTTTACAGGTTATTCATTTCTCAGTGTTTCAATTGCTCTATAAACTCTTCCAAGTAATTCCTGTAAATTTCCAAATGATTCTTGTAAATGTCAATGCTTACACGGTAAAATACATGTTTGGCTTTTTCTTCTTCCTTCCTTTCCTTCCTTGGCCGAATAATTCAGCCCTAAAGCCGTTATGTGGGGCTGAGCAAGGTCATGGTGGCCCTGAATGGGCTGACTGGGGCGGGACGTCCTTGGGGGAGGTGTATGGGGGTCAGGGCTGAGCAGGTAAGGAGGACTGAGCAGAGGCTGCCTGGAAGCGCCCAGTGGGGTGAGGAGGGCCAGCAGGACACGTGGGAGGGAGCCTGAGCTCCCAGCAGGGGAGGAGGTCACTTGTGTGGGGTAGGTGCCCACTGAGGGGCATTGGACCTGGCCTTCGGGGGAGGTGCCGCATGAGAGTCCGGGATGAGGACTGGAACTGCTTTCTTTCTCATGGAGGGAGTTACAGATACAGAAAGGTAGAGGCAGGCTTCAGCCCCGTGGAGCTGGACTGAAAGTGGAGGCATTAGTGTGAGGATGGTTTGAGGGGTGGGTTATTTGGTGGGGCAGTTTTGGACTCTTTATTATTTATTTATTTACTTACTTACTAATTGAGATGGAGTCTCGCTCTGTCGCCAGACTAGGGTACAGTGGCACAATCTCGGCTCACTGGAACCTCCGATTCCTGGGTTCAAGCCATTCTCCTGCCTCAGCCTCAGCCTCCTGAGTAGCTAACAGGCACCCGCCACCATACCCAGCTAATTTTTGTATTTTTAGTAGAGATGGGATTTCACCGTGTTGGTCAGGCTGGTCTCGAACTCCTGACTTCATCATCCACCCACCTCAGCCTCCCAAAATGCTGGGATTACAGGTTTGAGCCACCACGCCCATCCTTTTCTTTCCTTTTTGAGACAGGGTCTCATTGTCACTTAGGATGGAGCGCAGTGGTCCGATCTTGGCTCACTGCAGGCTCCACTTCCCAGGCTCAAGCAATCCTCCCATATCAGCCTCCTGAGTAGCTGAGACCACAGGCCTGCACCAACATGCCTGGCTAATTTTTTTTATTTTTCAGAGACAGGGTCTCACTATGTTAGCCAGGCTGGTCTTTAACTCCTGGGCTCAAGCAATCCTCCTGCCTTAGCCACCC